AATAAAATCAAGCTTCCTGTTGTTGGCATATGTAAATCAATGAATGTGCAGTGCTTCAGCCCTGTGGCAAGCCCACACTACAAAAACGGCCATCTTGAAAGCATGCTAGCAGGGGATAGTGAATATTCAAAATTAGCTTGCTTACTCAGAATTGCCTATTGCAGATTTAATGTATGGGGTTGGACCATGGTAGTAACTTTTGTTAGCATACAATATTTTTTAATCTATAGGGTTTTCATGTTGGTTTGTTTAGCAAGACCTTACCCAATCTGTGAAAAGAATTTTTTGAACTGGTTCCTTTTTTTTTTTTTTTTTTTTTTTGTCCGAAGCATCAGAAGATGGGAAAAAGAAACGTGTATTCAAAGAGTGAAATGATGATAGAAGTGTAGAATGCAGTGTGTGTACTGTAGAGCAGGCAAAACGTAAGGGAAGGAAAACCCAAGAAGATAGTCACTGGGACATTAAATGTGGCTTTTTTCCTGTTTAAAACATAAATATTAAAAGGTTGATCAAAGAAGTTGCATTAGGCAAGAGCTGGTCTGTTGGCTGCCTGTTGAATTGCCCCACTTAGTTTGTGCCTGTGAGATCCTGTAGTTCTATGCAAATGTATTGACCGTGTATTTCTTCAGGTACACTGGAGCTGGCACTGAAGCCTGCTTTGGATTGTCTTAATAGTCCCTTAGAGAAAATTTTTGTTACTCTCTTGAAATAGTTGTTTCACACAGTCAGGAAAACATTTGGAAGTTGGTTCACTATGCTACCTCCTCTTTCACAGTCTGCCCTCTATTCAGAGGGGTTTAGTTAATATAACTTTCCCAAGCTCATAGCCCTGTTCTAGTGTATGTCTATATCTGGTAGGTGTCTCATCTTTCTGAGCTGCGTATTTGATGAATTAGATTGTATGTAACACCTGGTATGTACGCGACCAGTAAGCTTCCAAATGACCCAGAAGAAAGCCAAAATGATTCCTGTTCTTGATGTTGGAGGATACAGCCTTTTCTCCAAGGCCGGGCTTAGAAGTGGTATGAGCATCTGAATGCTCGGAGTTGAAAAACTATTCATCAGACTCCTGGTGTTTTGTTGTTTCTCTTTTTTTAACCAAGTGAAACTACTTCTTGAAAATGGGCAAAGGGGGATTCTTGTCTCTACCGGGTCACTGGGTTCTTGAACTTTGAAGGGTGACAGACATGGGCTTGGGTTAACTTGAGTGATGAAAATGCATCTGCTTTAGTCATTGTGAAGTGCTCCTGCTGACACTGAAGGGGAGGGAGTGCTTCCTCGTTATTTGTCACAAATGTACCCTTATTCCTTGTTTCACATCACTACTTCTCTTCCATTTTCAACCTTTTTGCTTCTTGCTAATTGCTGCTTTAGGGGATGAGTGTGGAAAGCTAGCATATGTGGAAGGACTGCTGAGGGACCGAGGGTCAACTGGTGGTCCCAACGTAACTTTGACACACTTTGTGCTGCTTGGTGGGATTGCTGAAGTATTACATCAACAAACCCTCATCTAAATGTAGTGTGGGAAAAACAAAATAATATCAGTAACTTAAAAAGGAGCTGTATATTGAATATAACACAGCCACCTGGAGGCCCAAAGGGTGCGATGGCAGGAAAGGAAGCACTGCGCAGAACTGTAATAGGAGAAAGGTGCTACCAAGGAGTAACTGGCTAACCAAGCCAGTGCCAGAAGCCAGGAGTTTAGTCCCCTGAACACTGTCAGTTCTGCTTGTAATCGGGCACTAAACATCCTTAGGGCTGAGATAAGGATCTAGTTCTCGTACAGTTAATAGTCCTTATTATGGCAAATGGCCTTCTTGTTTCTGAGATGAATTGGCCCTCATTGGGTATTAAAATATCATGAAGAGATTATAGATAGCACAAGGCGAGATTGGTCTAGTTCTGCAGCCTGTCTGGTGAGCAGTAGTGCATGTCACAGGAAGGGGAGAACAATGCAAGCCTCCAGTGATGCCAGTCCAAAGCCGACTCCCAGCCTCCTGGTAGTCTCAATCTATTGGCTCTGTTTATATAGATACGTAAGTTGTTTTTGGCTGACAAATCATCAGAACTGATTCTTTGTCATGCAACCTTGCTTGTGACAAATTAGTACTTAAAAAATGTCTGAAAAGTTCTGACTGGCTTTAATAATGATTAATGAGGATTTCATGAGAAGAGATGAAAAGAGAGAAAGAAAAAGACTTGCTCCACATGCTCCCTGCTATCATAAAAGGCAGCAGAGTATTGCAAGAATATTCTCTTTAAAAGTAATGGTGTGTTGAATGTTGAACTCTGAAGGCGGTGTTAATTGAGGGTAGATGGGTTGAGGACGTGGAGAAAAGACCATGAGCGCATTGTAATGGTCAGAAGTAGGGTAAGGCATGAAAAGGGCAGGCAAGGCCATAAGAGAGCAAAACTAGGCAAAGAAAAACATCTGGGTCCTCCTGCAATACTGAAGGCCGAAGAAAAGGCAATTTTAATAGAAGAATATTTGTGTTTGTCACCATTAATGTTACGTTTTTCATGTGGCCATCATTATCATGCAGGTAATATCTTTGCAAGTTACAGCTGAAGTGTTTTCCTCTGGAACTTTGTTTCAGAAGTTTGCATTACCAAACACTGTTTTTTTTGTTGTTTTTTTTTTTTTTTTGATGTGGCTGGTATCTGCATGATACAGGAAATGCTGGGTTAAAGGATTTACCCTCTGAAATGAGTGTACAACAATGAGGAGATTGTACCCTCTTAACTTTTTTCTTCCTTTAGAGTATGAATAGGGAAGATATGAACTCCTGAAACACAGGACTCCAAGAGGGCAAGTGAGATATCTTACAGAAATGTTCCCAGAGACAAATGTGTAAGAAATATATTTAATTTAAAGAGCAAAAAGCCTTAATTTTCATTTTACACCAAGAAGCAGTTATAATATTACTCATCCATTTCAGTTTTGTATTTATTTTATGTACTTTATATACTTAGCTTTATAAGAAGTGTTGTTCTTAGAACAATTAAATCACCTGGCGTCTGAAAAACGAACTGAGATTTCTCACTTTTATAATAATGGATAGCAACATACTGTAGTCAGAAAGCATGCTTCTGCTACACTTATGAATATCTGTTTGATAGCGTGCGGTTAGATAGTACCTTTACTATTATGGTGTGAATTAATCTCCTTTAAAAAAAAAAGTTTGGCTGCCTTTGTGGTTTAATAAAGAGAGAGCTTTTAACATCTTCAAAAACAACAATAACATCACTACTTTTCAGGCTGGTAGCACTACATTTCTGGGGGTAAAAAATATTATTCTTAGTTTATGTACTTGAACCTTCATATAGAGGCCTGAATGCTTTAGGATAAGTAAGCTCGCTCTCAATGTGCCTCAAAGCTGTTAGCTGTTTTGTTTCTCCATGGTAACGGGAGTGTAAAGCAGTATGAGTGTGTTCCTGAAGTAGGCAGACATGACATTGGTTAGGAATGGGATTACATGTGAGGATTCCAGCTCTCAGATGAGTCTGATTGAGGCCATTTTTTCCAACAGAGGTGCTGTGAACGTGTGCAGATGTGCTAATTTCAGGCATGACTCAGGGATCCAAAACTGGTTTAAAAGAATCTACCCCCCGCCCCCAGAAAGTTTGCTATGGTGAGGGGGATTATCAGCTTAGTTCAAGGAAGCTCTTCTAGAAACATGGCTCAACATGTGATCCGTGCCAGATCAAGGTTTCAATGTAGGGCTCGGAGATTGAGATAAAATGTCATAAAGACTTAGTGTTGTATGTTCTGTGTAAAATTTTTACATCTATAAAACAAACATACAGGTTGGACGGGCAGATGGCATCTAAATTAATGCAGTTTTGGACAAGCTTTGGCTATAAGTCATCTTGCAATATTAACGAGATAAACCCTGGTTATGTTCCCACCTTGGCAGAACAGCAGTATCAATAGTACCTCAGCAGACTAGTTTAGATAGCTCTTTTGTGAAGAAAGGTAATGACTTGTATCTGTGGGGCTAGACTGACCTTTTTGTGGTACTCGTGCACTCTTACCCTTTTCTTTCTCTACTTAGATGACTCTGAGCTAGTAGATTGAGATAAAATCACCAGCTTGCATTCATACTAAGGGAAAATTTCATAATCTGGACATACTGCATGAGGGAACTCTTCCTGTCTCTGTTCCAGCAAGACTCTGTGTAGTGATGGGTTGAGCTAACCTCGCAAAGTGAGTCAGGTTTCCTCCAAAGGCATCCAGCCTGACTGAAGGCAGAGCAGTGTGTGTGTGTAGAAGAGCACTTACCTTTAAACAGAGACTTCCTCGTCTCTCCTCCCTTCCGCTGGCTGCAGGTAAATGTGATTTGTTCTGGTTCAGAAGGGCACGTGACCTGTTCCTATACAAGGCAGCTCCACACCTTCAGTAGGACTTTATACTTATCTGTTAGTTGCTTGGCCTGCTTTTTTTTGTGTGTTTTTAAACTTATGTGAGTGAAAGTCAGCTTTTTGTTCAGGTTCCCTAAAGCAGCAGAGTTGTCTCTCAGTGGTGCCTTTCTGCTCATCTCCAGTGCTCTGTAGTGTTTCTTTTCGAGTAACTTTTGGCGAAAGTGTAAAAATTCAACCGCTGGACAACTTCGATTGGGCCCAGAAGGCCCAAAGCGGAGGGACAGCCGGGAGAAGCCGAGCAGTGTGGCTGCAGTCGGTTCTCTGATCAGCGCTGCGCTGCCTGGCGCTTCCCGTGTGGCGGCGAGTTAAGGCGCTGGAAATACCTTTGTATTAGGTATTTGTATAGGCTTAGATCCGTGCGTGCCTCCTGCCCTTATGCAACCGCCTGAACGAGCGCCGCTCCCCGCTGTAACCGGGCTGGGGGCTGTGTGGGGGGGGGGCAACATGGCGCGGCTGCGCGCGGGCGGGTAATTACGGTAGGGGCGCGCGCGCGGGCGGCCGTTACGGTAGCGGGGTAGGGGGAGGGGAGGGAGGAGAGGGAGGGGGGGGAGGCAGGGCCGACGTGCGCGGGGGCGGGGCGGGCAGTGCTGCGTGCTCGGCCCCGCGAGGCGCGTCTCCCTCGCGAGCTCGGTGAAAGGATTTGGCGCCAGGCGGGTCCGCTCTGCAGCTGCCGCAGCCGCACGCAGCAGCCCAGCCGCGCCACCCACCCACCGCCGCCGCCGCCCGCCGCCGGGGCCTCGGCTCCCAGCCGCTGCTGCAGCCGCCGCCAGCCCCAGCCCCAGCCCGAGCCCGCCTGCCCGAGCCCAGAGCCGCCCGCGCGCCGCCCAGGGACCGAGCCGCCGCCGCCGCCGCCATGAGCTGCTCGCCCGTGAACGTGAAGAAGCTGAAGGTGTCGGAGCTGAAGGAGGAGCTGAAAAAGCGGCGCCTCTCCGACAAGGGCCTCAAGGCCGACCTGATGGAGCGGCTCCAGGCCGCGCTGGACCAGGAGGAGGCCGGCGGGGGAGGCCCCGCCAGCAGCGCGGCCGAGCCTGGCAACGGCAGCATGGAGGGGGAGGCGGCCGAGAGCGGCGGCGGCGCCGCGCAGCTCCGCCAGGCGGGAGGCCCCGACCAGGCCGCGGCCTCCGCGGCGGAGGACGACGACGAGGAAGGGCTGGAGGCGGCCGATGGCGACGCCATGGAGCTGGGCGAGGAGAACGGCGAGCGGGCGGGGGCCGGGGGCGGCCCGATGGAGGAGGAGGCGGGCGGCGAGGAGGAGGAAGAGGAGGAGGAGGAGGACGAGAACGGCGACGACCAGGGCTTCCAGGAGGGCGAGGACGAGCTGGCCGACGACGAGGAGGCCGCGGCCGGCGACGCCAACGGGCACGGCGAGCAGCAGCCGCAGCAGGCGCAGCCCCAGCAGCAGCCCCAGCAGCAGCCCCCGCCGCTCCTCCCGCCGCGCGGCGCCGCCAAGGAGCCCGCGGCCAAGAGCGGCGCTGCCGGCGCCTCGGGCCCCCCAGCGGCGGGCGCGGCGGGCCCCGCCAAGCAGCAGCAGCAGCAGAAGAAAGCGGAAGGCGGCGGCGGCGGCGGCCGCCCGGGGGCTCAGGGCGCCGGGGGTGAGTGCGTGTGGGTGAGGGGGGGGCGGCCGTTAACCCCCCCGCCTCACGGGATGGGGGGGGAGGGGGCGGCTTCCGGGGCGCGCGAGGCGGGCGCGTGGTGCCCCCCCCCCTTAGCCCGCGGGGGGGGGGTCCTGGAGGGGCCGTTGGGAGGGGGCGGAGCCTGAGGGGATGGAGGGGGGGAGGGGAGGCGGCGGGGCCGCTGGGGCGCGCTGTATTGTGCCGCTCGGCGGCCTGACGTCACTTCCGGCCGGGGCGCCGCACGGGATGGCGGCGGGGAGGCCGGGTACAATGGGGGCGGGAGGAGGGGAGGGGGGGGAGGCCCCGCGCGCGCGGGGCTCGCGCCCTGCCCCCGCCCGCCGGGAGGAGGCGCGCGCGGGCACGATGGCGCCGCGGGGGGGGGGGGCGGGGGAGGAGGGAGGGGGGGGAGGGAGCGGCCTCCTGTGCGCGCGCCCGGCGGCGGGCACGGCACCGGGGGGGGGAGGGAAGGGGGGGGGGCGCCTCCCGCGGCTTTGTCCCCCTGAGAGGGGCCCGGTGTGTGCCTGCCTGACGCCGCGCGTCCCCGCAGGAGAGGGCAAGGCGGAGCAGAAGCCCGGGGAGAAGAAGAGGGGCGTGAAGAGGCCGCGGGAGGACCATGGGCGCGGGTACTTCGAGTACATCGAGGAGAACAAGTACAGCAGGTAACGGGAGGGGCTGGGGGCCGGGGGGGGCAACCCGCGCTCACCCGACAGAAACCCGCCTCCTCTAACCTTCCTTCCCTTTGTTCAGGGCCAAGTCCCCTCAGCCACCTGTGGAAGAGGAGGATGAGCATTTCGACGACACGGTCGTTTGTCTTGATACTTGTGAGTAGCCGCGCTTCCCTTCCGTCCGCAGAGATCAGGGTTAGGCTTGCAGTCTTAAAACTGCACTTTGTGAAACGCAGGGCATATGTATTCAACTTGAATTGCCAGGTAACATAGACACATGTTTTCACCGCTTCTCAGCATCCAAAACAACAAAAGGACACATGGGTCTTCATAGTAACAGCAGTAAGTTGAGGTTTCTCCACAAAACCTGTGGCATCATAAAATTTCCTAAAGAAATCTTGACTGGAACACCAATCTAGCCTATAAACTAAGTTGGTTGAGTGTAGAGTGAGCGTAGATAACACTCAAAACAGTGTGAGAAGCATTCTCTGGCATGTGAAATACTCGCTTCAGGAAGTCAAAGAACCAGTGATGCATAGTTAGAGTAGTAAAATTTGTAGAGGAAGCTTCCTGCATAGTTTGCTGAGGCCCTGCTTATTTCTCAGCAATAAATAAACACTTATTTTTATTCTTTCTGATAAATCTAATCAAATGACTTAGGCCTTGGGAATAAAAAAGACCGTTTTTGCAATCCAAGTGTTGAGACTGGTGTAGAAGTGATCTGTTTAAATGGGTGCCAGAGAGAATTGGTCCAGAGAATACAGATGGACAAAAAGATACCAGTAAGAGGGTTTTAAGGCAGTATATCGCGATAGTAGCAACATTAACAGTCTGTGACCAGGATAAACATTTGTATTTTTGAGGGTAAGTATAAGGAACTATTACAGAATTAAACCCAGGTAATGTGCTAACTCATCGGCTTAAAATGCTGTGAAAGAGAACCTCTAAGCTTTGGCTTTATTTGGCATGGCATGTTTCCTAGTAGTTTTTTTCCTCCTGAGAAATTCAAGGATGCATGAGTTTACAGCCACGTATATGCCAGCCTTGACATTCTGTTAACTAAATTTCAACCTTCAAGATGCAGACTTGGTGAGTAGCAATCTCTGTGGGAGTTCCTAATTCTCCCAATAATTGACTAGTAGCTACTTCTGATTATTAGATTATTATTCCTAGCAGAAAACTTTGTTACTGGATGAACTGTATTTTAAAAGCGTTGACAGGTTGTCTGGAGCGCAGAATCAACCACGTCTTCAAGACTGAATTGTGTAGCAGTTTGGCTCCCTTCTACTGGACTGTAACAGGCCAGATATAAGAGATTTACTGCTCTCAAGTGCTTTTTTTTACCTGTCACATAAGAAGGCTATTACTTGATTCCCATTTGCTGCTCTAAAATTAACCTACAGAGAGAGGTTTCTACTGTATATTCCTTTTGTTTGGTTTTCATGCAACAAATTAGTGCTACAAAACACAAAAACGTATTAATGAGAACACTTGAGTCACAAACACGGTAGCTGTAACCAGAGATGGCTTCATGCAAACAAAACAAGATCTTGTGCATGAGAATTACCAGTAATACCGGGAAGACTGCATTTTAGTGCATGTGCTTGGACACCATGCAGATACTAGGGCAGAAGATAGTCTCTGCTTCCTGATTTTACACTTTTCTTATAAATATCAAATAGGTTTGGAGTTCATTCTGTGGATTCCTTGCTCTATGGCATTCAAGGCCATGTCCCACACCTCATGTGACTGTTCTGCACTGTCACTTTTTGAAAGCTACTAGGACATGAGCAACTTGGTGGTGCTCCAGCTTTGAAGATGCACATATAACAAAGGTTCTGTGTAAGGTTCCTGGGGTTCTTTTAGAATGATGGGTGAATTCATATTGCAGATCACACTTCCTGAGTGAAACGTTCTCTTACCACATTCTGCATGCTTAACCTATTGGCACTTGATTGAACTGACTTTATTCTAATTGACTTAATCTAATTGGACTTGCTAAAGGACTGTATTCACCAAAGATGGTGCTGCTTTCAGTACTTTAAAGAAAAATACTTGTGTTTGTACTTACCTACATAGCTGCCCTTAGGTTTGGGTATGAGGGATAAGACTTGACAAAACCGTGCCTAGCAAACCACTCAAGGAGCAAAGACAAAACAGTGGGAATTTGGTGACAGAGCATGGTAGTACCTTGAAAATCAAATCTGTTGTTAGTTAGGTTTCCCCGGGGTTTTGGCTGAGCTTCAGGCTGCAGCTTTAGGCGTGTATTCATTTCTTTTCCTGAAAGATGGTGAACAGTTGCCAAATGCCAGCTATTTGTCTTAAAATAAGTGGAGGCTTATACTTGTGAAAGCTGAAATCCCCCTTAATGCATAAAATTTGAGAGTTCTGCTTTATTTTTATTAATAAACTATGATTTTTGTTAACAGATAACTGTGACCTGCATTTTAAAATCTCAAGAGACCGGTTTAGTGCTTCCTCACTGACCATGGAAAGCTTTGCTTTCCTTTGGGCTGGTGGGAGAGCCTCTTACGGAGTTTCTAAAGGCAAAGTCTGCTTTGAGATGAAGGTGAGTTAGACTGATGTTTTGCGGGAGACTGTTTTAAGTAGTTAAATACAATAACACTGTTTATACTTGCCATTCTTTCAGTCCTCTTTTTACTTACTTGGAACTAATTCAGGTGAAGAGAGCTTAAGAGCTTTCTGAAATCGTTCTGTCATGAGTCTGTGAAATGGTTCTCAATAGAAGATGACTTAATTAGCGAAACTGCTTCCTTGTTCAAAGGACTTCCTTTAAAAAAAAAAAAAAAGCTGTGCTTGACCCGAATGTGTAACTTCTGGTTTTAGTTTCGAACCAAGAATTTCACTTTGCACTTTATGCATTAGAACTTAGAGACTTAAGACACAAGTCAGAAGTTTGCTTATGTTTTCTGAAGATTACAGAAAACTTGGATTTAACAAAAAAAAAAAAAAAGGCACCTACAAAGCACCACTTACACCAGGAAGTTGGATAGCTGACCTCCAGAGGTTCCTTCCAACCCAAATGATTCTGGGTTGTGTACACAATGAATGTGAGTATTTAGCTGGGCATTTCAGCTTAGAGAGCAAGAGTTCCCTTCAAGGGTAAGAATGGAAAAGCTTCCAGCCTTGTAATAAACAGATTTCTCCAACCTGGTAAGGGAGGAAAAGCAGGATGCACAAACCTTGATTTGGGTTTTTAGTGATGTTAAAGCCTTGCTTGTGTATGATGTGTGTACACACGCTTACTCTGTTCTCTTCCTCCAGTACTTGCAAACCCAACTGCTACCGTGAGGACGGGGTAGTGATCCCATTCTCTGCGCTATTGCATTGAGAGATTTCTGTGCCTGTTGGTGCTTATAACTTTGGAAGGACAATGAAGTGTAACTGATGTCACTGTCTATTGCCCTGTTCACTTCTAAATAAGCTTGGTTAAGGTTTCACCTTGGTTACCTGACTCAAGTACTCATGGAAACTGGTGGGATAGTGGTCAGTTTTTCCACTCTATTTGGTGAAATCTATTTAAAAAAAAAAAAAAGCTTGATTCCAGTTATGTTGTTTGGAAGCTGGCAACTTGCCCAATAGCTCTGTTTGCTGTGGAAAGGGATGAGTGTAATATTTTTCCATATCTATCTAGAAAACTGTTTTCATCTAATACCACACTGTATTGGCAAAGTAATTTACTGTTAATCCCAAAGTTCTGGCCTTTTGTTTTTCTAAATTAGATTAAGAATTTTTTGTAGACTGCAGTTTTAATAGTGTCAAGGATTGAGGTTTTTGGCCGCTAAGAGGGACTGCTATGAGTAAGATCTCCGAAGGTATACATGTTATCTTGCATCTCCATCAGGCAAGAGATGGGAGTATTGAGCAATTGGTTTGTGTTCTCACAGACTTGGCATATCTTACATTTTTGTAGATGTTTATTCAGACTAGGCCAAGATTTAACCAAAGTATAAAGCTTTTGGATGTTTGCATTGTTTCCATTTTATTGGCGTTTTTAAAAAGTACTATGCATTAACTTTCTTAATGAATAATTTAAAAATAGGTTACAGAAAAGATCCCTGTTAAACACCTGTATACAAAAGACATTGACATACATGAAGTGCGAGTTGGCTGGTCACTGAACACAAGCGGAATGTTGCTGGGTAAGACTTAAACATTTGGTTACTTCTCTGTATTGTGTATGTGGTTGAAATCTGTAGTCTTTTTTTTTTTTTTTTTTTTTTTTTACCCTTAACTGGATAGGAAAAGCTTAAGTGATCTTAATCGATGTATTCTGAAAAGTGGTCTCAGTTTGGATCGTTCTGAGTGTTGTGGGAGAAAGTTTATTACCAGGACCAAACAAGGTTAAGTATTCAGGCTTATACAGGAGGGTATGATTTGAGTTAATTCTTTCGGTGGTCAAGTGTGGGTTGTGGAGAACCTTCCTGGAGACTTGACAAGGTTAAGCATCTCCTTTTCATGTAATGTCATAAATAGGAAGATGATTTTCTGCTTTTTTAAAAAAAAAAAAAAAAAAAGAAAGATGTATAAGGCTACATGATAACATCATCATTCTTTCAAAGCAAGGGAAGAATTCTCATTTCTAAAAGTAGCTAGAACAATGAACAACTTAATTAGATAAATGGGAACAGATAATTATGGTATTTTAACTAATACCTGCTGCTGAGATATGTCTGTGGGAAGCACATATGAGTAGGGATATTCTCCTAGCAGCAGCTTTCTAGTTACTGAAGTACTTAAGTTCCACCTGAGTTCTTGTGTTTGACATTTGCTGTTAGCTTGTTCCTTGCAGCTTCATTCATCCTCAGCTGTCCCATAGGCTGAATGTCTACTAAACTCCCTTTAAAATGGGGAGGGGTAAGTGCTACTGGAGACTTAATTCAGAAAGCCTTTGTGACCAGCTGCATTACAGGTATACTGGTGCATAAACAGGTCTTCAGAGTTTAAAAATACTTAACTCGTGTCTTTAGTGTTTCAACTTTATGTCAATGTGAATGTGGAACCAGTAGCATAAGGCTCTTAAGGGTGGGGGAAATGCTGCTGTTCAATCTCAAATTGAGTGTGTTGAGTACTTAAATGCAAGAATAAGCTGTAGCTCTTCTGGGGGGTCATAGCTTGTTTTAGCATCAGTTAAAACATCCTGAAAAACAGTTCATTTAAGTAGCTGTAAAGTGACTGCATTTCTAAACAGCTAGGTAAAAATGCATGTTAATAAGTTTAAATTTCTTCTTCAGGTGAAGAAGAGTTTTCTTATGGATATTCTCTAAAAGGAATAAAGACATGCAATTGTGAGACTGAAGACTTTGGTGAGAAGTTTGATGAAAATGATGTGATTGGATGTTTTGCTGTAAGTTTTCTCTTAAATTTTCTCTTGAGGAAAAACATCCTTGCATTTTCAGGCTGCTTTGTGGGAAGCAGTAAATGAAATCCCCAAAAACATGGAGCAAGACAAGTTGCTTAACATAGGGAGGAGGTAGAAATAGCATGTATTTAAAATGTATAAAAACCAGTTGCTGCTCTCAATTGTTTTCACACTCACAGGCAATGTCTTCTAAGGCTTTAAATACTCAGATACTAAAACCAATTTAAGAGGAAATGATCAATATAAGAGATCATGATCGATTTGACCAGTTTGAGAGAAAGCCTTTAAGGATTTACTTCATGATAAAAGTGGTTATGCAAGTTAAGTTAATGCAACTAGTATAGCGAAATGACTAATGTGGCTTGTACAACACAAGATTGGTGTCTTTGTGCAAACTAATGCTTTGTCTGCAAAACAGAACTTTGATGGTGATGAAGTGGAACTCTCATATTCCAAGAATGGACAAGAGCTCGGAGTTGCATTCAAAATCAGTAAGGAAGCTCTTGATGGGCGCCCACTCTTCCCACATGTTCTCTGCCATAACTGTGCAGTTGAGTTCAACTTTGGTCAGAAGGAGGAACCTTACTTTCCTGTACCTGAAGAGTACACCTTCATCCAGAAGGTCCCCCTGGAGGACAGGGTCCGAGGACCAAAGGGGCCTGAGCAAAAGAAAGATTGTGAGGTAAGTTTCTTGTTTTATCTCCAAGTTGTTGAGGCAGAGATGAACAGAAGTGGTGGAGTACTATATGTACTATAATAGAAATTTTCCCTTTTTGCTTGGATACTTTAATACTTGGTGTATCCCATGACTATCTCTTCCCCATTCTCAATTTCCATTACACTTCTAGTCTTAGTTGCATATTAAAGATCTGTGAACTAGTATCTCAAATATAGAACCTGTCGTAATAGGTGGTGATGATGATTGGCTTGCCTGGAGCTGGCAAGACTACATGGGTTACTAAACATGCAGCAGCAAATCCTGGGAAATACAACATTCTTGGGACAAATACTATTATGGACAAAATGATGGTAAGTGATAGTACAACCTTCTGTATGTTGGTATGTTAAAGGCTGGCAGTCAATCCAAGGTCTTTGGCTGCCAGGGGATTCTCTTGGATGTAAGAAATAAAAGAAACAGATGCTTGTGACCGCTAGTAACCACTAAGTCTTCTGTCTTGCTGAGCTACTTCTCAGCAGGATTCTGAAGCTTTTCTATTGTTGTACTGTATAAAAAGTTTAAGTATTTGCATTTATTTGTTATTGTCCGCAGAACATGCAGCTTTTTGAATGTAATGAGTATACGTTAGATTCAGCTGCATTGATTCACCTAGATTCTTTATAAAGCTGTACAGCTTATGAAGGCTTTGGGAGTTTCAGTTATGAGTTTGTGGCTGTGGCCTTAATAACCTTTGAGGCCAAATGAGAAGAGCAGTGAGTAAAACCATGTGAACCATGCATAGAAGGACTAATCTAACTCTGGGAAATCTCTGTAGGTTGCAGGTTTTAAGCGTCAGATGGCAGACACCGGGAAACTTAACACACTGCTGCAGAGAGCTCCGCAGTGTCTTGGAAAGTTCATTGAGATTGCAGCTCGTAAGAAGCGGAATTTCATTTTGGATCAGGTAGAAGCTTCACTAAAAAATTGTTCTGGAATTCTGTTATAGGCTCTAGTGTAGTAATTAAATGGGATTAAAGTTACGTTGTAATGGCAGTTGTTGCACTTAATTGACGTAATATTGGTTCCGGGGGCACAGTTGTGATACTGCTACAAATGCTTGTCTGAACTTCTCTGGATTTATGGGATGTGGGAGGCATAGTGTTGTAACACTTGGATATGAACTCGTAACTTTGCATTATGCAGCATCTTTATGTCCAGTTATATGTAAACTTCATTGCAAGCTCTTGTAGAGGTGAAGTCTATACACCATAAGTTGACTTCCTTAACTCTTACAATGACAGCTACGTGTAGTAAGTTACTGCATTTTTTTCAGACAAATGTGTCTGCAGCTGCGCAGAGGAGAAAAATGTGCCTGTTTGCAGGCTTCCAGCGCAAAGCAGTTGTTGTTTGCCCAAAAGATGAAGACTACAAGCAAAGAACACAAAAGAAGGCAGAGGTGGAGGGAAAAGATCTTCCAGAGCATGCAGTTCTCAAAATGAAAGGCATGGAACATAATCCTATACTGTGTTTTAGGATGCTGAGTATCTGCTTAAAGGATTAAGTAAACCTGAAATCTAAAAATTCACGTTATCTTAAACAGTTGTACTTTAAACAAAACTGGAAGACTACTGTAACTTGTAGGACAACACTATATTGTGTTCCCTCTGCTGCAGTCCTTAACACTACTCATTTATGCTGATATGCTTCATGCAGATGCACAAAGCTGTCTTGGCATAAAGTGCCCTATTTAAGTGACATATTTGGCAGAAACTGGTGTTCTGAGTGGAGGCTTATAAAAGAAAAAAAAAAGATATAGGCAGAATGCTTTCAAGGTTTGGAACAGTACTGGCAACTCCATGGAGACCCGTTTATTTCTTTTGTCACTCTTACATACCTAAAATGCTCAAATTACTTAATCTTGTCCCTATGCTGAGGGAATGCAGGGGGTGGGAGGCAGGATGGGAGAAAGGTGGTTAAATACGGCTTGAATTGTAGCTGAATGGAGATGCTGAATACTCAGTGTTTTTGCAATTATAGGGAACTTCACACTGCCAGAGGTAGCAGAATGTTTTGATGAAATAATCTATGTAGAGTTGCAAAAAGAAGAAGCTCAGAAGCTCTTGGAACAATATAAAGAAGAAAGTAAGAAATCTCTTCCGCCAGAAAAGAAACAGAACACTGGCTCAAAGAAAAACAAGAAGAGCAATAAAAATCAGTTTAATAGAGGTCAGAGGGGACGTGGAGGATTCAACATGCGTGGCAACTTCAGAGGAGGAGGTGAGCCTAGAAATAAGCCTGTAAATTCTGGAGATGGTACCTGCTGTGCAAAAAGCCTGTTGTGCAGTACTTCATTTGCAGTTACTGCGTGGTGGTAAGCTTGATCTCAACTCCAGGAAGTTTTTAATACCCTGGCATGTAGTGCAAAGTTAGTTTTACAACTTCATCCAGGATTTTGATGATGGTCCTCACTTCTAATGCTATTCATGTGGTTTGAGACACAATGTCCAAGTCTCTGTTGTAGGTTTGGTGTTTGCTCGTGCATGAGACCCTATTAGAGGGGTTTTACATGCTCATATTTCTTTACTATGACCAAGCTCGACTTGAAATCTTTGCATTGAAGTCTTTGTTCTGAACTTGGCTACATATTTCTATAACGTGGTTGTGTTCTTGCTTTGAACAATGATCTTCCCATAAGAAACACTGAAGACCTAACAGTGACTTGATGTGAGTGCCTTTCTCCCTGCAGTCCCTGGCAATCGTGGTGGATACAACCGGAGGGGAGGCAACATGCCTCAGCGAGGTGGTGGAGGTGGTGGCGGCGGCGGTGGCAGCAGCGGTGCAATTGGCTACCCGTATCCTCGTGGCCCTGTCTTTCCAAGCAGAGGTGGCTACTCAAACAGAGGGAACTATAACAGAGGAGGAATGCCCAACAGGGGAAACTACAACCAGGTAATGCTTTGGGGAGGGCTTAACAGTCACTGGGCAGTGCTGTGGACAGCGCTGTGTGAAAGACTTGGCAGCTGTGAATTGTGGCAGACCTGGTGGTTGTGGTACGCTAATTCCACAGTAAAAGGTCTGGCTTCTAGTTTTGTGCACATGCCTAGAGCTCTAAACATTGTCTAAGAAACTAACATGGATGCAGTGGTTTCCTGGTAAGACTTTACCTGAGTTCTGTTAAGCTGAACGTTTTTAGGGCTTGGGTTCCATTTAGCAGTCCCTGGATCTGGGTGCTCTGACAGGTGAGAGTTGCCTCTTGCAGTTGATGTAGGATGCAAACACTCAGGTCTGGTTTAGTTCCGCACCTTCAGTTGAGCTGGAACTAGGCACGGCTTGTTCCACTACGCAAGGTGTGCAAATACCTATTTAAGAATGAGTAGGTTAAAAAAAAAAAGGTATTTCTGTAACTTCACATTGTGCATGAAACTTGGTATGTTTTATTACTGCCTATTCCCTCCCCTACAAGTCCCCACCTGACCCCCAATAGCAATAACCCGTGTTTGGCCCTAGGGTCAAGGTGTGTCTTCAAGTAGAAAGAAAAGCAAGGAGCATTTAGAGCTTTCTGGAAATAGCCCTGGAGAGAGTCTGTTTTGCTGTCTGATGTCAAACACCAATTAAAGACATGCCAGCCTCGGTCTTAACTGATGGAATATCAGTGAAAGTATTTGAAAACATAATTTTGATTACTGAAGAGCCAGCAGATGGAGCCCAAGCTAGTAAACATGGATTAGGTTTGTCTAATGCTGACAAACAGGGGAAATGCTGTGTTTTATCTAAAGTTTTGTGGATGAACTATTTCCAGTTGTATGAGCTGTATCCTTTTGTCTGATCAGATAACATCCTTGTAACTACGACAGCCTTTCCTAACTAAAAATAGGCAAGCTCTAGTATTTTTAGTTGTCCTGGTGCAGTTTAGCAGCTGGAAATAGGGTGAGTCAAAACTGGATTAGCCAGCTTTCCAGACCACTGAGAACAATAGTTTGAGCTAGCTTATTAGTTTTAGTGGTGTTGACCCATGTTTTAAAAATCAGTTGCTTGGAGGAGGCTTTTGGCATTGTTTTTATTTTAATTCTTTAACCTAGACCTGATCCCTTGTGTTTGGAAGATGCTGTATGATATGTGATCTTCTAGTGGCAATAGAAAGACTTGGTAGTGGTGTATTTCTTAAAAAAAAAAAAATGTAATAATAATAATAAAAAAATAAAAATCTCCACAGATGTAGTAGTTCAAAACTGTTGTCCTCTTTCAGAACTTCAGAGGAAGGGGAAATAATCGTGGCTACAAAAACCAATCTCAGGGCTACAACCAGTGGCAGCAGGGTGTAAGTAATAACAACTAAACTTGTTCCTTTTTGCTGATTGTTAATTGAGTGTTTGAAAATGCTGTCTGAAATAATTAGAAGAAGATGTGTAATCAGAACTGGATAGCATAATCTTCTAATGCCAGGTAATATTGCTATAAATAGTTTTCTCTGCAAAGCTTAATCTGTCTTGATGTATCAAATATCAGCCGTGGCTTATTGGTCTTAATGGTATGAAGTATTTGGCTTCATGTTGCTACTGTGAAGTGAACTTAACTGTCTTCAGTTCTTCAGGAATTTGCTGTTGTTTGGGAGGACTTGAATCAGGAGGACTGCATGTTTGTTAAAGATGTTCCTTCTGTAAGGAGCTAAGTTAATTTTAACTATTTATCCGTTTATTGCAGCAATTCTGGGGTCAGAAGCCATGGAGTCAGCATTATCACCAAGGATACTATTGAATACCCAAATAAATGAACTGATACATATTTCTCCAAAACCTTCACAAGAAGTCGACTGTTTTCTTTAGTAGGCTAACTTTTTAAACATTCCACAAGAGGAAGTGCCTGCGGGTTCCTTTTTTAGAAGCTTTGTGGGTTGATTTTTTTCTTTTCTTTTTTTGTACATTTTTAATTGCAGTTTTAAAGTGATTCGTAAGAGAACCTCAGCATTGTGCACGATAAGAGAATGTGTCAGTATTTCAGGGTTCTACATTTTATCTGTAAAATGTGACTTTTTTTTTACCACAACAAAAGTAAAACGTTGCTTTGTACCTGGTGTCTTTTTATTAAAGAATTTTCTCCTTTTTCCCCATTCCCCAATTTCTAAGAAACAGTCGTGAGTCATGTCACAATACGATCGAAATGTTAGCAACCAGATTCGTGTGGAGGCTCCTGAGCAGCCCTCACGAATGCCATGAGATACTGTAAAGCTCCGTATTACACTCCATCCTCTCTATACAGCTTTGGGGTGGGGAGGGGAGGAGGGGGAGGTAAAAGTTTCTGGCAATAACTAGGACTTCTTTTGTAACACTTGGAGCTCAATAAGATTTTGGGGGCAAAGAGGAAACCTGGAGCTAAATAGGGAAGGTGGAGTGTATGTAGAAGCTCTTAAAGTTGTAAAACTTTGGTTGCATTACTTGTGGAGGCTCAAACTTGTGAAGGTACACCACCATAATTTCTTTTCCATTTGTTCTGCATTTTGATTCTGAAAAGAAGCTGGCTTTGCCCATTTCTTATTAAACAAAACTTGTTGTAAATCCAGTTGTCTAATGGGATCTATATGAAGTTAGCTGTGTGTCTGTATAACTTTCCCCACAAAATACTGTATACCTAGTGTGCTTGTAGTAGTTACTCCACCATTTTGTAAGCTAATGAAACTGTGAGTCACCCATTTTATATCTAATTTTTAATCATGTCAATTCTCAAATGGGTGTATCTCCGTAGCCTGCTGATTCCTTTTTCTCTTTAAAGAAAGTGGGTGGAGAAATTTAACTCTAGACGTTTGTTTGCAATAAAATAAATTCATTTTACTCTTGTTTTGGGATTGTCGCCATCAAGGTCTAAAATCCCTTTAAGGCTATAAAGAGGAAGAGAATGTATGGAAGTGCTGATGTTGGACAGTTCTAAACTCATTACTGTGTACATGCTGAAATAACTTGTGTTTCTTTACAAATCTAAACCGGTGGTTGCTCTGTTAGAGATGTATCACATGTATAATCTCACAATTTAACATGGTTATGTGTGTAGGGCAAAAGTCTTTTGAGTTGCACTTGCATCATGTAAATCCACTTAAATCTATTTATTGTAAAATAGAAGCCAGGGGAGGAGTGGGGGAAGATACCGCCCCGGGAATAGGACAGAAGGAGGGTTGTCGCAGAATGAAACCCGGAGCTGGAACAGAGCGCTTCAATTTGTTTTAACTGCTACTTTGCTCAGACTTGCGCTTTTGTAACGCTGTAGTGGCAATGTTAGCTAATGATTTACTTGCATCCTAGCACCAGGGAAGGGACGTAACAGTTGTGAATTGGACTGACAGTATACGTGTGAAGGCATTACTGCCAGCAGCGGGGAGGTGGGAGTGCTGTGCCGAGTTGTACTGGCAGTGCACAGACTAGCAGAGGCTTACCAGCAGCAGCATAGACCTAGAGGCAGTGTAGTGTGCTTGAAACTTTCCTCCAATGTTAGTCGATTTCTTATAGTCTTTGGAAGTACAGATAAAGTTGTGTTGCTCTTCTAGCCTTTATAGCAGATGACATTGCATATTGACATTAAACATTAACAGCACCACCTCCTTGTTAATACTGCTTTAAATCATCCCTTTACTTTGAACAAGAAAAATGTAAGTTGTCTTTAAAGAAGCATTATTTAATGAACTAGAAGTATGGGAAATATAAACCCAACTCTGTTTTTGCTGAAATGGAATTTTCTTTAGACGAAAACAACATTAGTGTAATTAAATTCCATGTCCCCTCTGCCTTCCTCCTAAGAACCTAACACTTTGTATGGAGTGCTGATCCTTTGCTTATTTTGGTACTCTATAGAATTATATAGTCTTAAATATAAGAGCCTACGCTTACTATGTGCTTGTAAAGTTTGTATTTTAATTCAAAAGTCTGGGATGTTTTGTTTTCTATTCAACATACGGTGTTAATAATGCCACAACTGAGAGGAAGGGCTTTAAGCGTTACACAAAGGCCATAGGAGTATGTAGTAATACTCCTGCGTGAGGAAAAGATGCCTCAAGTTGTTCAGCAATATGTGCTGTCTGGGCTCTGAGTTGCAGAAACCAAGCCATTCCAACATTAAGCATCATGGAGGTAACATTTAATTCAGAAAGTCCAAATACTTTATCGCTATAGATCAGAGCCTCACTTGGTAAGGCTTTGCTCAGCCTGGGTTCATCCCTGAAGGAAAAAGCCTTCAAGTTACCTTAGCTCCACTTACTCAAATGAAAGGGATTTATTTTAGTGTGAAAAGGGCTTGTTACTGAGGCAGTCACTAATATTAAAGTAATTGCGGGTTAAAAAAGGGAAAGCTAGTGGCTACACAAATGCAAGGCAAGCCCAGCTGTATGTTGTCAAGATGGGAGGCTGGGGCCATCTGTCACGTTGAGCAACTTCTTGCAGCTTATAAGGACTTGTTTACGTGAGGCAGAGCGCCCGGATCACGGCAGCTGTGCTGCTGGCAGGGGCACCGCACATGCTAGCGGCACGTAGTGTAGGGTGGGGGCATAGGGGGGCTCTGAAAGCTGTTCAAAGCTGGAGGGCTTCAGCCCTGGGGTGGTGGCAGCAGCGCTGGGAGGTGCTGCCCATGCTCGTGTTAGCAGCTGTAGCGGCCTCGTGAAGCTGCCTGCACCTTGCACTGCTGCTGCCCTGTGTTGGGATGGCCTGAGCTGAAGGCAGGTCAGGGCTGGGGAGTTCCCATGTCCAAAGCAACCCAAAGTGCTTGTGGTCTTCCAGCCCTAGCTGGTAGCAGTCCCTGGAGTACCTGTACACATGGGGTAAGGGTGGGCCTTTCCCTGACGGGCTGGTGTTGGCAAGGGGCTGTGTCCCTGGGGCTCTGTGCATATTGGGCTCACCCCAAAGCGCTCAGGTGCCTGCAAACGCTTCCCTGGGGGACGTCGGGGTTTGGCTTTTGCTGTGGGGTGCCTTATGAGACCCCTGTGCTCAGAAGCAGGCTCTGCTGTAAGGAGTTGCCCTTTCTTGGTGTTACACTGCTGGGCTGTGTGGGATGTCCTCAGCAGTGCTGTGGGTGTGAGCATGTGTGTGCGCCATCATCCATGCACGTGGCACCTCTATCGGACAAGTTCCTTTGGGTGCCCATTGCAGAATAATTCCTGGTCAGCTAAAACTGTCAGAAATTGCTCTTCTCCCTCAATACTGCCCAATCTTTCTGACAGTGGGAGTGATGCAACCAGCGTTCTGGCAATGCCAAGTGCAGCCCATGCCACTTGGATTAAAAGAAAAAACAAACTGTGGTGTAAGCCACTAGGTTGTCCAAACCTCCTACTACAACACTATCTGTTTTTAATGTAAATAGCCCGTGAAGTCATTTTCTAAGATGTGGTTTCCCTATCCATGACCTTTAGGAAAACCAGACCAATGCTTTCTAGAAGTGCAGCTTCAGACTATGCCCCAAGATACAGAGCTCAGTTACAGACGCGAGGTGCTTTAATACCTCTGCAGATGTTCAGCAGCCAAATTTGAGACTCACAAGTGAAGTGTGCATACGCCTCAGTCCTGTACTACAGCCTGAAACACTGCAGGGGATGGGGACAGCTGTAGGTCATCACAAAAAGCCACTGCAAGGGAAGCAGAAATTTAGAAGGGCAGCTTTATAACTCAAGGGTTAACAGACCCATTGTGGTGAAGTTAGAGCAGCACCCCGGTCATGCAGAGCTCACCTACTCCTAGACAGAGTGGCTGCGTTTAGGTGGAGGGGGAAGGGGGCCTCTCTGTACCTTGCTAGCAGGAGTGCGTGCACACTGAGGTGCCTCCTCCCGTTTTTGGAGCTGGCAGTTGCAGGGAATCAGTCAGCTGAAGTCAGGACTTGGCCAGCAGTTCGTCTGTACAGGACTCGCCTCAGTTCGTCTCTCTGCCAGTGCTGGGAGGGGCAGGAAAATTCAGCAAGGAGTAAATAGCTACATAAACTCAGCGGTGGCTTAAAAAAAAAAAAAAAAAAAAAAAAAAAAGATGCTAAACATTTAACATATTGTCACCTTCAAAGGAGAAAGAGCAAAGGCAAAGGTAGAAAACTTGTAGTACAATTTCTAATGCTTGGCTCATTGCCATTGGCCCTTCTGCACCAGCATAACCTTAGAGCAAGCTTTTGTTTTTGTTCCGTTTCATGTTTTAGTAAACAACCTTTGCAGAATCATTTTGGTCCTGAAAGTTACTGAAACTGAAACCAGGGGTAAGAGAGCTCGGCCAAACTTTTTCACACTTAGAGAAGTTTCATGATGTGATGTCAAGGGAAGATGCAATTTACACAAAATAATGAAGCTGGATCTGCTGCCTAATCAGCAGCAGATTATTGCTGCTGCTTACTGGGACACCTGTGATAACTGACGTGGCACAAAAACACCTGTATGCATTTTCTGGTCTGAATGAAACCTTAGCTTCTGCCGCATTCACCTACATTAACTCTTCTAGCACTCTGCTCAGGTTTTCTCCCAACAAACTGACTTGCATTAGAGGGGGAGATGGGTGCTCAGGGAGAGCACTGGCTCTGCAGTGGTGCAGGTGCCTGAAGCAGTTTTAAAATAAAAAGGTCCAGCAGTACTGAGCACTCCCTGAAAGAATTCCCCAGTTGTACCTGGATGCTTCAAGTACCAGTAATTGTTTACAAGGTGAGAGACACACAAAGGACTTGATTCTTTTTTTCTTTTTTTTTTTTTTGTGACACAGGCTGGAGCTATGTTTGGGCCCTGCTGAACTTTCAGCTCTGTGGGGCTGTTGAGCAAGCTGATAAGATAAGCCCTTGTGTTATAAAAGGACTTTTGCCTTTATGGTAAGAAGGTGGTAGAGGGGGGAGAGGAAACGAGTGTCTTCTTGGAGGGATGTTTGATGGCTTTGTCCAGCTGCCTGCTCCGAAGCTCCCAAGTCTGTGGTCATTGCCCCCTCTACGTCATCTGCCACTACCAAGAGGGGTTGATCCATCCTTGCAATTGCCTTGCAGATCAATTTAAGCAGTAATTTCTTATATTGCACCCCGTAGCCTGCTCCTCCTCAGACCTAATCCAACTCCTCCCACCTTTTTCCCAGAGGACATGCACTCTGGCTCTACCACCACTTCACAGCACCCTCCGCAGCTTTTCAGCATCTCCGTCAGCCAAGAGGCCAAAGCTGGACAGCAACATTGCACGCAGTGTGGCGTACTGGGGGTGAGTGCTCCCGTGGATTTTCTGGCTGCGTGCCCCCCGATGCAGCCCAGCCTGCGGCATGCCGTGTTCGCAGCGAGAACTCTGCTGGCCCACGTTAACTTGGCAGTCACTGTAAGCGCTGTTCCTGCAGGGCGCCTGGTTCCCAGCCTCTACTGTGCACTGCTGTACAAGCAGCCACATCATCATCACCATGGGTGGTACGGAGCTGTTAAACAGGAAGTCAAGCACCTCAAAAATCAGTATTAGCCATAAACAACTTGTGCAAGTGAAATGTCTTGTGTGTTCTCCCTCTGGCTCAGGGAGACGTCAGAGGAGGAGACTGCGCTAGAGTAACAAAAACTACTTCAGTACTTACACACCAGAGAACGCAATAGCTAAGTGTTACAAAAAGCATTTGGGTTCCAGACCTAAGACAATCTTTCAGCCATAGTCTTCATAGGAACGTGCCTGCTCCTTTCCACAGAGAGGAGGGAGGATTTCTGAGGCGCGGGGCCGCTGAGCACTACGCAGGCTTCCTGTGCTTGAGCCGGCGTGGCTGTGGCAGGATCCCTTCTCCCTGAAGGAACGAGGCCAAGAGAAGCAGCGAAATCCAGCGCTCGATCCCCCAGGGCAGGGGCAGCCCTGCTTTTTGTTGAGGAAAACCTGCAATCTCCTGCGCAGCGAGAGGAACGCAGAGGCCATAGTCTGAGTCTGGGGGATGCAGGCAGAGGAGAGGCTCCCTGGCAGCTCCTGGACATTCTTCAGCCAGAGGCTGCTGCTGTTACTGAGCGGCGGCGCTGGCTCAGCCCCGGGATATCGCTGTGCCTCCATGGCTTGGCAGTTTGCCAGCGCTTTGCTTTTCTTTTTTTTTCAAGAAACAGCCATGAAAGGGAAATGATGGATTCCAACGGCTCCTCTCGGCAGACTCTGTTACAGGAACTGAAGGCGCTGGGTGTTTTCAGGAGTGAACTTACTGTTATACATGCTTACTGCCTTGGAAAGGAGGCTACCCAGCAAGCACTAAGTCCAAGCATCCCCCTCTGGTTCCAAAACTGAACAGTGAGAACTACACCACTGAAAGCAACCGGAGCGTTGGTGGGGGAAGGGAGCAAATGGTTTCCTCCTTGAACGGTGGCTGTATCTGAGGAGCTCCAGCTAACAGGGATCCTCCTGGAGACACCCGGCAGATGGAAAGTGTTTCTGATGCATCAGTAACAGGACTCTTCCCAGTTTTGTCTGCTTTGCAATTGCACGAGTATGCAATTCAATAAAAAGCTGTGGTTTGCAGCACTTCTGTCACAGCCTTGCAGTTCTCCAGGACTGAGAGCTCCCAAAACAGAGTGGGGATGCATCCTTCATGTGCATCCTTTGTGCAGCTTGAGCCACACTTGTCACTGTGTGGGAGAGGCCTTCTGGCTGTGTGGTAGGAGAGAAAGCACTCTGTGACCTGCTCAGAGGCTCTGTGACAAGATCAAGATGTTGCGGTCTTCCCCACGGCCAGACACAGCCACGGAGGAACAGACTGAAATGCCCAGTCTTGATCGGGGCATTACGAGCCTTGTGTCTGCCACATCCTGAACATGTGGACGCCTCTTTCCTTGTACCACGGGGAGCATGGAGAAAAAGAGCACCTGGGTCACCCACTGCTTTAGGTGGAGGTCTCAAGAACACACATGTGGGTGGTAGAGGCATACAAGCCAAAGCATGGTGCTCCCAGAATGAACAGTGATGTAAAAAGCGATGACTAGAAACGGTGAATGGGTTTCTGGGTTGAAAAGCCCATCTTGCATTTCTACTCAACTCTTTTTTTTTTTTTTTTTTTTCCTACTCTACTCTTGCTACTCTAGCAGGAGTATGAAGCCCTCCGTGGTAGTGGTTTGAAGGGACATTCTGATGTTTAGGAAGAAAGAGCTGAGCTCTTTTTATCCGGAGTTTGAGTAGAGGGCTACGAAAGAACATTGCATTTAGATAATATCAGATCTAAAAGCCAAGTAGAACAAGTTCTGTCAGGGTCTCCCAGCGCTGCCTCAGGATGACCCTCCAGGGCTTCAGCTGCTGGATGAATATGCTGTAAGCAAAGCACGTAACAGGCACTGGTAGTTCCAGATTTCCTTGGGGTGCCTGAACAGAGAATCTCTTTATCGAGGAACAGGCTGTTAGAAAATTTTGCTGTATGTTGGGTCTGAAGAACTGCAACAGCTGTTTGTGACATTTTATCCGCCCAATAATAAATCAGTTATCGACTTTACACCTTCACTGATATTACTGATATTTCACCCAGAGCCTGAATGTTTATTGACAATAGGGGAATGTTACTTTTTTTTTAATTTCTTAAGTAACATAACCAAAATAGGCTGGTGGCTGGGGCTATGGGCTCCTGAGTGCATTTGCTTAGAAGCAGCAGCCATAGGCAAAGAGGTCAAAGAGATCTCACCCCATTTCCACAGTATCTGTGCAAAGCGTGAGTGATGAGGTGGAGAGAAAGATCTCTCTCACTGGATTTGACTGCCTGCCAAAGGTAAAGACAGTAAGAACTCTTGATCCAGATAATGAAAAACATGACTATTAGCCAGAGTTGTAAAGCTTGTAGGTGAACCCCAAAACCTGTCATGCGTGTCTACATGGCCCCGAAGGCCAGGACTTCTTGTAGATAAATACACACCACGATCACTGGAGTTGATCACAAGCTGGTTGCCATCAGTGGAGAGATCAGGGAAGAGAATCTATGTAGGCTGAGGGCACATGGCTGCTCCTTGAAACAGCATTTGATAAGCTTGAAAAATAATCAAAGAACACATTTCATTCTATTCAGAGCATGAAGACAGAAGGGGATTCTTTGGTTCTGTTACATACATCACCCCAATATACAGTCTGGGTATTATTAAGCTTGGCCAGTCTGAAGAAAAAGAGCTCCATAATGGGAACTGTCTGCTCCCTGGGTAAATTTGATGTACTCCCAGCAGGCTCCTGGCACGTCCAGAACAGTTGAGGGCTGTGCCCTCTCTTGCTGATGACAGAAGCTGGAAGGGTTAAACTACCCTCCTCAGCACCCAGAGCAGGAGTGCCCTCAGTCTTTACACAAGACACAGGGATGCTGTGACCTGCTTGCATGGCAGCAGGCAGCCCCTCCGCTGGACTGTTCCTAAGCAAACTACGAACCACATACAGAAGAAATACAGAAAGTGCAGGAAAATGTTAGGGGCTTAAGAACAGCTTTAGGCAGGGTTTTGCTAGCAGTGAGTCTGCATTTTACTCACATCACCAAGGCTCTACCTTCTCTTCATCCAGCTGTTCCCCTGCCTCCTTTGAAGGTTCATCAGCTGTACTTGCTGAGTGCAATGTTCCCAGTTTAAGAATGATGTACGTTCCAAGGCCTCGAGTCACATTAGCCAGAACTCAGCTCTACGTCTGACACATTAATTCTTGGTTCTTCAAATTCAAAGGAATTGATCAAAAGCTTGTCATCTTCATCTTCTGAACATGCTCTAAGAACCTTGTTCTGACCAATTTTTCATGGTAATTTTACTTCATATTTGCTTCAAAATTTCACTAGTAATCACCAAGCTCTTGACCTAAGATCCTGAACACAGGAATGAGGGAAGCATGGAAATTAACGTACTAAGCTGAGGTAATTCTTTCACTTGGGAACTCATTACAACCAAGTTCGCACGGTGCTCCATTGTTAGCTGTGTTGCTTACACCAGAAATAACCAGTGTACTCCCCCCACCCTAGAATAAAATCACCCCACCAAAAGCCAGACTCATTTATGAATGACAGGTGAACTTCCCTTTCCAGCACTCTAGGACTTGGGCTGGGTGGCAGTACACAAAATAGCCTGGAAGCCTGCAAAATGAAGCAAGAAAGCAAAGCCAACATCTCCTAAAAATCTCTGCTTGGGTTAAGATGCAACCGACAAGTTTGGGGTAACAGTTTTAAGTGCCTCTCTTGTCAACTTAAAAATTTAGGTTCTGAGCCTGTCACAGTTGTTGATGGCTGAAACATTACATTTGCTATAGCAAAAGGTTCTGGAGAGCAGAGGCAACCTGATCACACACCTCCAATAACAGAGTTGGCAATTAACCTTAGATTGCCACATTTCTGCCGGATGCCTGGACAGAGACTTTGAGTCTGAAAGGCTTGGAGGATGTCCCTCCCTTGTGTGGTGTGCTCCAGTCACTGTGAGAGCAAGGTGCCACAAACCCATTTGTTTACTTTGGTGGTATTTTACATTGCTTTAAAAGTAGAGAGGATTTTATTAACTTCAGAGAGCAAAAAAATGTGTTCTGCTCAGTCACAGTTTGGTGACCAAATAAGGCAACTGTCAGTGCAATAAAGAGGATTTTTTTCCAGTGGTCTCTAAGTTTAAAGGTGTTACACTTCATTCTCTCCTTTTGCAGGCTCATTCAGAGTGCAGAAAAATATATTCAGTCCTACTATTTCTCTTCTGTGTTAGCTATCTATTAAGCTGAGGGGTATTTTGAACCTTGATAAAGCAAGAGCTATCACATCTGTCACTAGCAGCAACAGAGATATAAAGTGCAATAATAAAACAGAGGTACATGCTACATATTTCTATGAATGACTTAGCTTAAAAAAAAAAAGCCAACAGTATTAATAAGAATATAGCTCACTAATTTAAGGAATACTTAGGACTTTGTTTTTGAACATTAAAATTACTTCTGCTAAGTTATTACACTCTTTATTCTCTTATGTATTTACCTCAATTTACCACAGCTAATAGAGATTTTGGGGTTTTGTCCTGTCCCTCACAAAGTTGCTCATCCTTTCAACAGGGGTTTGTCACCCATCAGTCACTTCCAATCCACTTTCCATAGCCGATGCAGAAGCAGCTGTAGCTGGCACTCTGAAGAGCTGTCAGCCTTTTTTTTGAGCCATGTTTAACTATCTGCATTCCTTCCTCTGCTGTTGCTGACCCTCCCCTTTCCTGCCAGCTGAGTCCTGCTCACCGATTCCTCCTCCCCACACTCCCCATTCTGCAGAGGCTGACTTTTGGTTGGCTCAATTTTACCTCTGTTTTTCAATAATGAAACTCAAACATTGGCCAGACTGCCTGCATAATATCTCTTTCCCCATTTTTCTGTTACCATTTGGCACACTCATTTTATGTTTTGTACGGGGAGGCAGCATTAGACTGATGATTTAAGCCATCGGATACACCTGGAATTTGGTTGTTTTTGGCCAGAATCACTAATACTGTCGTTAAGCTGCTATTGGGCTCATGTCCTTACATACAGCAGCCTAAAACAACAGCCAAATAACACTGTAGAGAAATTAATCCTGCTGTTTTCCCCTCGTCATGGTCACTGTACTTACATATTTTAAAGGATGCCCTTCCGTGCATGTTGCCTCCTTTCCTGTCGGCACAGAGCCACATTCTTTTCTCAACAACTTACCTGATTTTCACCCGGATGCTTTTGTTTTCTAAACTCCCCAACTGAACTATGGCCTCACAGCCGGAAGACCCCCTACTTAGGTTGCAGCTCCTTTTCTTATGTCAGATAGGAAAGAACTCAACCATGTGTTAAAATAGGAGCTTGCTAAGTACTTGCTCATGGCTCGCTCAGTTTCCCACTGCCACTCAAAGGGCTTCATGAGGCAACGCCTCCTACACGATCCAAAGAGAGGGAGCTTCTCTCTCCTCTTCACCTCCCAGCATAAAACTACAGAAAACATTTTATCTTGTGAATTAGAGCTACCTATGAGTTGAATTCTGAGCTTGAACTTTCCAGTGAGGACAGAGAGTGTTTCATTTGTACTAACTCAAGCTCTCTGGAGACTTTTTAATATAAATTACTGAACTAAAAGTTCTCCATAAAACTTATCTTCATTCTTTTATTCCCTCCAGAAGAAACAGGAGGAATAGGGAACAAGAATAAATGGTACAGAATACAGGTTTGTTTTCTTCTTGTAAGAGGCTAAACCAGAGAGGGTAAAAGTTCAATCACCTTAGTGTAAACAGCATGCTTGTTTAGTGCTCTCAAGCATATTTCCAAATTAACTAAGTAGAGCAATGCTGCTGTTTACATCTGCACTCCTCCACATAACCCCAGCACCGACAGATCACGAACTCTCTCAGACTAAGCAGAGGGTACTATTTGTGCTCAGTGAATGACTTTAGACGAAAAAGGTGCTTGTAACATGATAAATCATTTTGTAAACAAAAATGATAAATCATTTTGTAAAAAACATAAATGCATCCTCACTGGTGTAAAGAGAAGCATACAAGCAAAGGCATACTATGCCATCATTCATCTTTTTGCCCATATGCCATTAGATCTAACACTATTTCCCAATAAAACAATGTTTCCTTTAAAGCATGTAGATATATTTTTATCTTAAGATTTACAGTGAAATATATTAACAGAACATGCCTTTTTCCATGAACTGCTTACCGTTACTACTTGTAATATTAACTATTATTCCAGCAATTGTTAAGGAAACGTCTCAAAGAGAAGATTTTTAATCAAGTCAAAAGATACTACACAAATACCTGAGGCTCCTCCTGAAGCGTGGTTTTATTCTTCGTTTTGCACAGACACAGATGGAAGCTCACAGTATATATAGATTATTTGAAGCTGCCCACTGCTCTGCAGCTGAAATCTTACAAAAGCTACTGATATCCACCTTGCACAGGCAAAGCATTCACCGACTATTTAAATACTCCTGTTTTACAAACAGCATGCTTACCAGCAGCACTGAAAGATGCATTTACTCAGAGAAGAGCTGATGGAAATATTTGCCTGTATTTAAATGAGACGTAATTACAACTTTGCTAAAATGCACCATTCTGTTTATAATACAGTTCAAGCAGTCCCAAAATGTCATCATTAATCCTCCAAGACCCTGCAGCAGACCACATCAATTCCCAAATGTTTAACAAGCCAAAACCATGGAGGTCATTCCTGACCGTGTACATAGTCATATACATACATACATGAAACAAAGAAAGGCTTGTATACTGATTTAACACTGAATTTCTTACTTGAATTTTCTAGGAAAATCAGCATGATTTATCAGTTACCTCACACGTTTACAGGGAACACCACCATTTTTGGACCACCTTCTCCCAAAGCTGTATTAGCCCACAGATTCTTCTAGAGCAGACTATGAATTGCTTCTTTCACTGTCTGTTTGTTTTTTTTCTGGATCAAAAGAACTGCCTTCAAATAAAATTTTGTTTCTCATTCCTTCTTTAAGCATTCTTTGCCGGATCCTGTGTTTGGCTAAAATGTACCTGCAGTAAAACCTAGAGGAGACAAAAAGAAAACGTGATTCCCTCTTTACATGTGTGACAGTATCAAATCAGAGTTATTCAGCCAGTTGAAATTTTGAAACCACATACAATAATGGTAGTAAAATTCAGTATGAAATAACGCATAATGGAAATACCAGGGTACCTGCTGTTTCTTTAAGGCAGGCATTAGGCAGCTCCTACTGAGGAGCAGGATATACAATTCCAATGGAAAATGCTCACTTCTATGATTTGGATCTTAACCTCGTGAACGTTTAATATGCTGCTTTTTTAATTAGGGCAGAAGAATGGCACATGTGAAGGAAAAAAGGAAGAAAGAAGGAGATAACTGGATGGTCTGATCTCTGAGAATTCAAGAAACGAGCAACTTCTGTTTTGTTTTTTTTAAATATATGAAAATAAAAATTTGAAGGCATAGAACTCTTTTCCCTTAAAATGATTTGGGGGAGAAGGAAGAGGACAGTTAGCTAGGCAAGTCATATATGGAGTTTCAAAGAGTATGAAAGGTCACACAAGGATTGTGTTGTACAAAACTGCCAACATAGGTCTGTCAAAATTCAAGAAACATTCTACATACCAGTATCCTAACATTGTGCAAATAAAGCCACCGACTGCAAAGTCGCAGGATCTTTTAACTCTACCTGAAACAAAAATACTCCAAAAAATTAGAGGAAAAAAGTTGGGTGGCTTCCCATTATTAATAAAGCTTAATAGAAATTAAGAATGAATTTCACCTTACAAATAACACATAAAAGAAACAAAAGGTGTAATTACTTACTGGTTGCTAAAAAGTGTCCAAGACCCACAACTAAAGATCCCACAGAGCCATAGAGCACTGATTCTCGTGCACATGGGACATTTTTAACATCAAGAAATCCTAGGAGTTTAAAGGACTGCAAGGAAAAAGAAAACAAAAACAACACATTAAAATATTAATTTAAAACTACTTTTGTAAAAGTAGCCTATTTCCCTGTAAAATTGACTCATCTTAGTAGTCAACAATAAAAACTGAATGATTTCCTGCTCCCAGGAATACATTTATATTTGAGCAAAATCAATTTATACTTGAGCAAAAGATGACCATACATAGCGAATATGCACAGCTGTATCAAGAACTGCTTTAAAAGAGTTAGCAATTGATTTAGGCAACATCATTTTTGTAAGCCTGGTGGCTTATGGTTCTTCTGTCCTTCCTATTGAAGATTATTTCATTTTTTCCTTTATTCTCCCAAAAAAAGGTAGGGAGAATACCCTTAGGAGCCCAGCTCCTTTATTTAAAACCAACATACATCAGGTTGTATAACAGGTGAGGTTACAATCAACCAGGTAAGGTTATGCCACGTAATTGTAACATCCGAAAAGGCAAATGTGTTTAAAATTAAAAAATAATAATAATAATAACAATAAAAAAAAAAGAGTGAAAGAAATTATTGGAGAAGATGATGCTGGTACCAGAGAACTTTATATTAAACAAAGACTAAAACTACCATTTTTAACTTAATCCCATGTATGCCTAAACATAGGGGCTATTCATGTAAATTCATCTATATTCTACACATAGATTTTAAAATGAATCTACTGGTTAAAACTACCCTAATTATTTAATATTCTGCCTCACATCTATAACCCACACTAGCTTTTTTTCTGCCATATTTCTATTTACTTTTCAAATGGCAATTACATATTGCCATGCATACATGCAACTATGGACTGGACAAATATATTTTTGATTTCTGAGAAGCCTATGCTGGCGTAAGTATGATGGAGATCTTCTAACTTGATTACAATTCCTATCTCCCACCTGAAGAACATCCTTGCAAGTGCATGTTGGTGTCACAAGCAGGAATGGCAAACTACATGTGCAGAGGCCTCGAGACAACATGGTCAGAGTGAAGGGGCCTGAACTGTAATAAATCTCCCTTCTTCCTCCTAACTCACCTGTTACTGGTGGTGCGCTAATTCTGTCTTCAACCATTCCATTAACTTCAAATCGTTAAATACCATTAAACACTGCAATGTGCAACAGTACCAGCTGAAGTCATTAACAATGATTTTTTTTTTTTTGAAAGCTGCTATAGTTGGACCAAGTGGATTTTAAAGATGGGATACCACCATAAACCATCCACAAAGGGCTGGCAACACTGAGGGAAGTCACTGAGAGGATGCCTGACTACGGATAAAGGGATGGCAAGCCTCTGACTACAAATGGATTTGTGTTCAAGTAAGAAACCTCCATTAATAATTTAATCTCTGTTGTCTGTGAACAGCCCTCAGCTGCTCCCACACCATCCCTTTGTGCCAGTGGGACAGAAAGCCCTGCCCTAATGATTTCAAGCACCCTCTTGTAGAAGAAGCCAGGCTACCCGTGCTGCACCCACGCCGTGCCCCGTTACAGCAGGGTTTCACCCGCTGCCACACGGGCAAGCAGCCGCTCGGCACGACTCCAGCCACCGTTACGGCGGTTGAGGAGGCTCGAGGGTCACGACAGCGTTTCAACCCCAAAAGAGAAAACCCTGTGGAGGAGTACGTGGAAATAAAAAATAAAAATAATAATATAAATAAAACTAAATACGGAGAGCGAACAGCCGCCGTCCCGCCAGCAGCCGCCATTACCTTCCCCTCCTCAGAGCCGCCCTCGCCCGCCATGACGCGACAGCGCCCGCGCACCACCGAGACGGGGAAGGGCCGCGCCTAGAGCGGCCGCGGCGCGGCGCCGCTCTGCCCGCCCCGTCTCGATGGTGCCCGCGCGGGGGGGGGGGGGAGGGAGGAGGCGCCGGCGCCATTTTAGGTGCGGGGCCTCGCTGCCCGCGAGCTCCTTTGTTCGCCGAAATGGGTCACGGAGCGAGGGCGCGCGCGCGTGCGCCCGGCTGCGTGCGTGCGTGCGCGCGCCCGCCCGTGGCGGGAGGGGGAGGCGCGAGGGCGCGCAGCGGGGAGGGGAGGAAGGGAAAGGGAAAGGTGGGGGGCGGAGCGATGGCGGCGCTGCGGGCGGGCGTGGGGGAATTGCTCTGCGCAGAATAGGCTTCTGAAATGGTGGCACTCTTTGGGTCATTACAGCCAAATGGGATAAAACACGAGTGCGTTTGTTAGGGCAGCCTGTGCCAAAGCGCGTCCGCACACTGGAAGTGATGCTTCAGACGTTAAATGTTACCACGAGTAAAATCTGAAGAGGTGAACGCTGCTAAGTGACTCAGGACGGCGTTTTGTAGTTCTGACGTACTGTGAAAACATTTTGCTGGAAGAAAACAAGTTTCTACCTCCTAAGTAGTAATCTGCCAGTTAGGTTCAATGTAGGACCTTTTACATCGCAGCAACAAAGAAAAATAAGGACGAGAGATGTGTAGTATTGCTTTTCAATTAAAAAAAAAAAGTCCTGAAACATTGTTTCCCTAGGAGGAATTAGCTATCTTCAGACCTTTTAAAGTGTTATTTTGGATGTTTTATTTTTAATTCTATGCTGAATAGAATGGTCTTTTGCACTCACTGGATTTTAAGCTTGCGTTTTATATTACTTACATGTTTTCAGGATTCTGGAAACAACGTACTTTTACACAGAATTGATATATTAGTAGTTGAAAAGTGCCGTTTTACATTTGCATGGGTTATTTGAAATCTTTAACAGATTAGAAACAAGTCTCACTCCTTCCCAGCAGTCCCAAATCTGATTGCTTTATCATCTTTGCAGTCTCTAGAGGCAATGTTCAGAATTCATGGAACAAACTGGTCCGATACATTTGCAATTTTAAAAAGATCAATAAACATATCTGGAATTGTATCTAATCCTTTTAAAGCTAATGTGTATTATGTATGTAAAAACATGGGACATTTACCATAATAAAATGTGGAAATAAAATTATTGGCATATTTTCTTCTTTGGATTTGTAATGTATGTTTTTATTTTAGTTGGTTTAAAAAAATCATCGTGTATTTGCATTTTATTGCACAACCACAAACATGGAGGAGTATAGTAAGAAATTACAGGAGTGTGCTGATATGTCTGGGGTTAATAGGGCCAAATTGGTAAAAAGTAGATAGTGCTTTTACTGGTGGTGATGTGGCCTGGCCTGAAGAAGTTAATATTTTGAAGAAGAAAAGAAGAGTGGAAGAATTGGATTGATGTTGGCTTGCTGACTTCAGCGCTAATTACCTTCATCATGCTGAGCACTTTCTCGAGGGGTCTGAACCTATGTGCAGTCTTGTCACCATCGAACATAAGGGGAGACATACGTTTGCTCTTCTGAGAGCAGATAAGCGCCTCGAGACGTTGCTCTGCTACAGGCATTGCTTGGTAGTTAGCAGGCTGGCAGATTCCTGGGCTAGCGGTGGAGGCACCCCTTGAAACACATCTTGTAGGACTTTTTATCTGTCTTCATGGTCAGCTTGAAGCTGCTTAAAAAGAAGCCAAGCAATTGCCTGTGGTGACCAGGTGCCATGTTGTAAGCAATGTAAGCAAAGGTTACTTAACATTGCCAGAAGTCAGGAAGAGGATGGTTATTCCATTAAAGTCCTTGGATTTCACAAGAGTGTTTGTCCTTCAGGAGGAGGACATCATACTATTAGATTCAGGTGTGTAGGATTTATGTATTTGATGGTTTTGTGGTGGTAAATATTTACTATGATGGTTGTAGAGATACCATCCAGCAGGTTATGTCAGAGTAACTGCTCCCTGTAGGAGAAGGCACAAAGAGTGTGTGCAGGCTACTGCTGCCAAGGCAGTCGGGAACCACGCTCATGCAATTAAAACAAATTGCCTTTTTTATTTCAGCATTAATACTAATGCAAATTAAGGCTCAACTGCAAGCCAGTTTTACTCCGGGCTGGCTTTGCTGATTGCTTCTGTAGGTTGACTTTGACTAACACAGAATCATATAATCATAGAATATCCTCAGTGGGAAAAGACCCACAAAGGTCATCGAGTCCAGGTCCTGGCTCGACGCAGAACCCCCTAGGAGTTAACCCCAATGTGAGCACTGTCCAAACACTTCCTGAACTCCAGCAGGCTCAGTGCTGTGACCACTGCCCTGGGCAGCCTGTCCCAGTGCCCGACCACCCTCTGGGTGCAGAGCCTTTCCCTAACCCCCAGCCTGACCCTCCCCTGTCCCAGCTCCATGCCGTTCCCTCGGGTCCTGTCGCTGTCCCCAGAGAGCAGAGCTCAGCGCCTGCCCCTCCGCTCCCCTCGTGAGGGAGCTGCAGGCCGCCATGAGGCTTCCCCTCAGCCTGCTCTGCTCGGGGCTGAGCAAACCAAGGGACCTCAGCTGCTCCTCAGCTGCTCCATAGAAGTCTTGCCCTCTAGACCTGTCACCATCTTTGTAGCCTTCCTTTGGACACTCTCTATTCTTTTTATGTCTTTCTTAGGCTGTGGTTTAAAAAACAGCACACAGTACTTCTTGAGGTGAGGCCACACCAGCGCAAAGCAGTGTTCCAATACTCCCAGTTACCCGTACAAATGATGTTTCTGTACAAATAGTCTTTCTAGCTACAACATGAGCCGTCAATTCAACATACTCCTCTAAAAGCCTAGGAAATTAAGGCAGGCTCCTATGGCTTTATTTCTTCTGCCAAATCTTTTAATGTTATTCAGGTGTATGATTCAAAAAGAACAAGGGGGTTCTATAAAAAAAAAAAAAAAAAAAAAAAAAAAAGGACATATAAAACTTTATCAGTTATAATTTCAGTTAAACTGTCAGAGGTAGAGCTACCTTTAGAATTTCCTGACTTCTTGGTAGCAACTGGATTTAAGCATGCTAAAGTCCAGACTAAAAACAGAACCAACATTTTCCTAATTAAACAACATCTTTCATATAATGAAAATGTTTTCTATTTTGCTTATAAACCATGTCTTAAATTTATTATTGGTGAATAAAGAAAGACAGCTTTCTTATATGACATTGTAATCCCCTTCACACAGACAATGGTAGTATTTAATTGTCTGCTTTGGTCCATTTCTTTTTAAGTTTCAGCCTTTTAAGACCTAGAATATATTTTCTGGAATTGAAGATTTTAGGAGATGTGTGTTACTTCTGAAAGAAATCTGTGTAATAATGACCTAGTAATCATGGGGTTATAGCAATAGGAGTGTGGAACATGAGAGGTTTGCTAGTCCATTCCTTTGCCCCATAGGTACTTAACTTACGCTGTCTCATCCCTGACGAACTTGTCTAAGTTTTTTGAAACACTTCCACAGGCAGGGATTCCCCAGCTTCTCTCAGCAATCTGTTTTCTAATTGCAATTAAATTGAAATTATATTAACAGATTATTAAAGGGGTACTGTAATAGGCTTTAGATCACCCAACAATTAGATCCCAACAATTGGCCAATTTGCAGAAAATGAATTATTTCAGAAATCTGCCATATTGTGGTCATATGACTTTTTAAATTATTATTATTTTTTTATATATATATGTTACATTTCTTATTTTTCTACCAGTGAAATCACAGTCCTTTGCAATCAAAATTGTATTTTGTCATGGTTTTGAACCTGTGAACATTATATATTTAGATCCTCCAAATCAGAGTATTGCTGCTTTTATCCCTGCCAATGAGTCCCAGAAACACTTCACATCTTAATTTTTTCAAACTAGAGTAGCTGTCCTGAGGTTTCCATCAGGAATAGCGTGGAGGGGTATTATTATGAACTCTAAGCCTCGTGTTCCATGTCTGTCATATGAATGTGTCAGGTTTAATCTTTATTAATTCCTCAGAGAAAACTGAAGACTAGAACTAATAAGATATTTGTATGGTAATTGTTTCTTTTGGGATGTGGTTTCTGAAAATTCATAACAAACTGAATTATGCCAGTAAGAAATTTATGTAGAAATAAGCTAAATAGCACTGCAAAATTCAGAGGAAAAGAAAAATCTATCAAAGGCTGTTAAATACTCAGGCACCCTCTCAGGGTTAAGAATTCCCTCACCACAAGTGCTGGGGTACAGTGAGTAAGTATTACTACGTGCTTCTCCTGTCCTTATACTTTTCCCTGTATATCCAACACTAGCTAAAGTAACTTTTTGCATTAATCACCGTGGCTCTTTATTTTTTGCTGAGATAAAAGCCTGGAGAAGGCAAAAACGTCCTTATTGCATTAATACACTAAGGTCTCGGCAACTGGTTCATTTTTAACACAGACAGTGCTAGAATATAATGAGATCACTGAACCAAAGGGTAAGAGGAGAGAAGTGATGTTCAGGAGCTGCTCTGACGCTGTGTTTTGTATGCAACGTGCTGTTAAAGCAGGTGTATAATCAGCACTATACAGGGAGGTATTGTGCTGATTTTTGCTTTTTTTGTTAGTTAGTTTTTTTTTTTTTTTTTTTTTTTTTTTTTGGGGGGGGGGGGGGAAGGATGTGGGAGTGGGGGTAGGGTAAGGGTTTCTGGGTTTTGTTTCCAATTTTGTAATAAAGCACCAAACACTTCAGAGTACGCTCACTGGCTTATCCCCACCTTGCCTGGTGACGTGACTGTCCTCTGGTAGTCATGCCAGCTGCA